TAGATATCCTCGATCATTAATAAGGTATTTAGTTAGTTCTATGAAAGGTTTCGTTGTTAACATAATACTAGCTTGTACAGGTTTAAATTTTTTATCTTTACCAATTTCTACATTGCTAAACAAATCAATAACACATTCTAAAAACTGCATTTTTTCGTTAAGTATGTCTTTACCATTTTCCTCTTTAGTTGTTTTTCCTAATGCAACTGTTATATTTCGCGAGGTAAGTAATGTGAACCATTTCGAAACTATTTCAATAAATAAAGCCGTTGTTTTGAAGTCATATTTATCTTGTTCCTATCCTAAAAAATTCAATGCACTACTAACATCCCTATTTAGCATACTGGTCACCTTATTCACTTTCATTTTATTGAAGTTTTTTGATGTGATGACATCTTTATTTAATTTTGGTGCTAGCTTAAACAACAAATTTTCTTGTAAATTTATTAATTCTTGTAAATGAGTGAATTGAACAATTTCTGAAGACAAGTTATTCAGTTTTTGAAATTGCTCCGGCAACGTAATAACTTTGTTATTGATTAAAGTTGTTCTCAGATTCTTCAACAGATGTGGACCATCAGCAAAAAAGTATAATTTTCGCTTGTTATCAATTGGATGACGGGTAGAGTTATGTATTTTTGCATGTTTGCCAGCATAAATATTTGAAAAAGCTCTCCACATTCCTTGATTTACCGGCTCCATATCCGATGTAATACTGTGTACATACAGGCCTATCGACTCACAATCAGCTTTTTCAATAATTATTTCAATAATAGCTTGTAAACATGCGCCATCAAATCCATCAGGAGTGTAGCGATAGGCAACTATCTGTTTCCAGCGAGTAAATATACCTCCAAGCATAAAAACCAATCCAAGGGTTTTTCTCCTAGTATAGAATATAGCAAAGAAAGCACAGCATAGAATAGAAAAACAAAAAAGAATACACATATAGACAAGTGTTAAAGACACATTTAAAGACAATATACAGATAGAAAACCGAAAGTGGTACTAAACCGAAGTGATAACAAAAAGTGTAAAATAGCATGAAATTAGACAGAGTTTATAGATTTACCACGATTAGTCTTCATGGCTTCCGGATGGTTGCCGCGTCCGTTTGCAGTGTGGTGCCGACGTTTCGCAGGCGTTGCAGTCTGCTTCATCAGGACTGGGAGACTCTGATACTGAGCTCCCTCGCGTTGCGCTCGTCCTTTTATACTCGTTCTTGGGGGGAAGGGAGGGGGTAGTCGGGGGGGGGCGTGGTCAGAGGGAGGGGAGTCAGCCAATCCCGGCTGACGGTTTTTTTTAAAAACCGGGAGGGCGGTGTGCCATATCGGGCTCACCTGATAGCTCACCTGACTACCCCCTCCCTTCCCCCCAAGAACGAGTATAAAAGGACGAGCGCAACGCAAGGGAGCTCAGTATCAGAGTCTCCCAGCCCTGATGAAGCAGACTGCAACGCCTGCGAAACGTCGGCACCACACTGCAAACGGACGCGGCAACCATCCGGAAGCCATGAAGACTAAAGAAGACAACAGCCGCGAAAGCCTGAAAGCCAAGATTTACCACGATTATTGGCGATGGTAGCATATCCAATAACACAATTTTCTGATGTATCATTTTGTTCACCAGGGGCAAGACTCATTTCATCTAACGCTAACATACAATCCTTATCTCTATCATCCTGAAACTGTGATACTTTATCTCTCAAAGCTGTGTCATCACATCCCTGATTGAAAATTCATTGTTTCAATGCTCTTTCGGAGTGTACGTGTTGATGGCAGAAGAATATTTTGTTGTATAAACTCTTTGTAGCCGTTTTCAGAGCAACAAAATTTTATTTTAAGTGCTTTTTTTATTGTATCTTCAGACCATTTATATTCTCCCCTTTTGCGAGAATTTGTTTGTAGCCATTAGATTTGGTCATTGTTAAAAACTTTATGTAATATTTCCCATGATTTTAATAAAGTTTTTTCAACGCGTATTTTATTTTGGGCTGTTTAATTTTCTTATACATTGCATCAAACCTTTTTACTTTTTCAGCACGAGAAATGACTGTGTTAGCGATTTTAAGCTTTCCATTCGCTTCTATGATCTTTTTTTCAACTCTTCCTTTTCATGGTCAACGTTTAATTTGAATATTGCTGCAGTGGTATCACATTGAACAGAACTTTGAGTACTTATTTGTGAAATATCTTCCAAATTATGTGTGTTTTTCTGTGTTGTATAATAGCTTCTTTTGATGTGTCCAAGAGATTACAGTAGATGTGAAGTCCTTCGGAGTGATTTACCTATTAGAAAATATACATAAATTTTCTATAAATTCTTTATTCCAGATAATGTTAAAGCTACATGAACATACTGTATGAGGATTTTCCTCGTTTTCTTTTTCTTCGTGAACAACGGGAAAAATTGTTGGCACAGCATCGTATTTTAATTTTCCTTTTCCATCGATTCTGGTTTTCGCCCACATATTTTCAGTAAAATTGACCTAAAACAATATAATTATATAATTTATATAAATATCTATTATTTCATCTATCAATTATTACATTATTTATTTACTTCACAAATATGTGAGTTTCGAGCAGGTTTCCAATTTTTACGGTTTATTTTTAATACCCATAAGGTCCTCCATTCTTCATTAGACGGAAATCGTCATAGCGAAAAACCTTTTTCGCTGTTATTATAGCATTCAGGCACACAACAACCAGTCATGTTTTCTTAAAAAATTAAAAACATTCAAGTTATATGTATAAAGGCGTGTTAAGTCCATAATCGAAAGTCTTGAAGTATTGTTGTCGCTTTTCCGAGATGCTGATTGGCAGTCTCGCTTGTGCATAACACGACATACTTCAGTCGTGTTATTTGCAGATGTCAAACCATGCGAATTTTTAGATACACAGAGAGAAAAGTACGTAGTATTTGCGACTATAATTGCATAGTAAAATAATTATAGTCAGGAATATCATTTTTATAGTAATTATCACTATAATATTAGTAATAACAACCACATAGTCATAGTGATGCCAACCAGCATAAAAATTTTACTATTATTTATGAAGCTTTTAACCATTATTCTGGTAAAATATTAAGATGGTGAATAGTAACTAAATTAATTAGTTTTATACATATAGTAGGTGCAAGTACAATAATAGTAAATTTAACTACATTTCTATCTTCCACTTTATTATTCGCATGGTAAACAAAAGTGAAGTGGTTCGGAATGTCTTCACTAGAGGGACGCGCGGTACAAGACTCTCTCGTAAGTAAAAAACCGCTTAGGGTGTTATAAATACGGATCAGTTTACGCATTCGTATAAGATTACTTATGTTTTCTTTGAAAGATGCTATCTTGTACTATTCTTTATGAGTGCAAAGTGATTTAACCACTGAACGTAGTGAACACAATGTATTGTGTTAGTTATTTGAAATTTTACTTGTGGTTGTTATTGCAATATTTATAGTACACCTTACCAAATTAAAAGCTCGTTTTGGTTTATGATAACCATATCATAAGTTGCATGGACCAATATAGTGTCTATGAGAACTATAATACATTGTTAGGTCAACCATAACTTACGTAGTTGGAAGAATTATAAAAATATGGTTGGGTCCAAAAATGACTATAAATTATAGTGAGATTGTGGTAACTGCAACTATTTTTCTCTCTGTGTAGAGCAAATGGCGCGCGCAAAGCGCGCGCTTGTGTTGTCTAGTAATTGCGAAAAGCGTGTCGGTACCAAAGCATAGAGATATAAGAATAGAGTGCGCAAGTCATATGCTATCGCGTTAGCGGCTGCGATACAGGTATAGAAAAGAAGCGCTGTAGGTAGGCCCCTTCTATCCTTCTCAGTCGCGCATACACCTTAGTACAGAGATCAGTCTTCTTATGTCTGCACATGCGCAAAGACTGACAAAGACAAAGACAGAAGGGGCCTTTTTGTAACTTTATCTTACTTTTACTATATCGCTTCTTTAGCTTACTCACACACTCTATTCTTATATCTCTATGTACCAAAGTCGAGATATTTAATGTCAAAGTCACGAATTTTTACTCATAAGGGCGAGTTTTACAAACGTCAGTTAACTGCTAACCTCAGGTTACTTGATTCTCCGTTTCTTCTTAGATAATAAAATACACAGAGAGAAAGGTTTCTTTGGATTTAGTATTCCTATTTATTTGGTTGAAATTTGTTTCATTAAAACAATATATGCTTATACGAAACATTATATGTTTTGAATAAGAATTTTGTTGTTTTATTCAAACAACCTGTATTATTTGATGGAAAAAACACTATTATTTGAAGTAATATCTTTCAATGAAATAATTATATTATTTGGCCAGGCGCTTATAAAGTTTGGTGCTGCCACTAGATGGCCGCCGAACTCGTAAGTAAAATCGCGGCAGCTATGATATATGTATAAGCGACCGCATCAGCAGACGCAGTTTAATCATTTAATGGTCTATTTTTTATTATGGCTGAACATAGTGTACTAATTTAGTGTTTATCTTTCTTCTTTTAATGAAGGGAAAATTCTAATGTAGAGGGAGAAAGATGTATGCATATACATTTGTTTCACATATTTTCTATCAAACGATAATGCTGTTTGAATGAAACAATAATATCGTGTAGATTAAAGAGAATATTCCTTTCGTTTCAAACAAATATTTTATTTCTGACAAAGATATATATTATTTCAAATTCAAACAATCGTACTTGTTAATTCAAACATTGATTTGTTTCGACCATTTCAAATATCAAATTTGTTTGGATACATTCAAAATTTATTAAAATTTATATTTATATTTATATTTATATTTATATTTATTTAAATTTATAAATCCAAAGAAATCGTTTTCTCTGTGTAGAGAAAGATAGAGAGTTGACTGAACTTTGGTTTAACAGTTAACCGACGTTTGTGAAACTGGCCTTAAGGCGTATAGGTGAAACGTGTTCTACAGTAATATTTTAATTTTATTGTGATAGAAATTGTTTATGTATTTTGCTAAAAAACTAATACATGATGCATATTATAATGATGAATAATGATGTTAAGAATGATATATTATTATTATAAGATAAGGATACGTAACGGTACCCTTTATGTGTGTAAAGGCCTTCAAACACACTTTCCGTAAAACATAATAGCAAGGTTTCGACCAATCGCGTGGCTCGATTCGTTTACGGCGTTGCCGTCCGTAAGTAAATCTAGCCACGTAATTGGTCAAAACCTTAATTACTGTTACGTTTTATGAAAAGTGTGTATAAAGTTGTAATCCGAAGTTCTTCATCTGACAATATTTTGAAGCGTATCGCTCAATATACACATAATGTGAAGACCATGCAATCAGAGACTAGCCATAAGAGTTCGACAAATTCCTGCGAGTAAGAGAAACATAGGCTTTCACTAGCAAGAATTTGACGCACTCTTATGGCCAGTCTCAGATTGCAGGGTCTCTAACACAAAGGCGACATTGCCGGATCTTCGTTTTTCCAGAAGCATGCTAGTGTGCGTATATATGCATAAGACGCAGAGCTACATTGCTTGTGTAGTATGTACAGTCTACGCTAAAAGGCGTGGAGTAGGGAGACGGTCGCGCTGTGGAAGACGAAAAGAAAGCCGAAGGTTCACGAAAACATTTGGCTACGATTACAGCCTACTGAATTTATTTAAAGATGCCGTATGGAACATTTTATTGTCAATAAAATTGGTTACGGTCCACTCTGTCATTTGTTTGGTTTTGCGTCGATCCCTTCTGTGCATCACCATTTTTTGGGCCCAACCAATAAAACCAAGAATAAGACAATTGTTATACATATGTGTGGTAGTGTTGCTTTGACTTAAAAAATAAGCTTTTTTAATAAAAAAGGATTAAAAAAGACGACAAGTATAAGCGTCATCCAATCAAGAATTATATAATTTAATTATTTGGATATTTTTTATTAAAAAAAATTGTTTTATCTTCTCTCCCCCCCCCCCCTCCCATGTATCTTCTCTACAAAAGTAATGATATCACCAAATGGCGCCAACTACACTGAATATTTATACAAACTAGGTACTTTATTTGTTTGTATATTAGAATGTTATATCCAAACAATGTCAAGCATAACGTTTTATCGGAAGAAATAAAGAAAATAATATCAATATTAATAATAATATTAATGAGACAAATTTTTAATACTTATTCAATAATACAAACAAAATTACAACTAAATATTTTATTAAAAGATCGCCTTTTCTAATTAAGTTGTGAGATACATATTGATCCTGATTCATGACATAGTTTATTAAAAAAAACTTGGCGCTGCTAAACCCAATGTTAATTGCGCTCTTCCTCCTTCCTTACTATAGTGTTAAACTCTTTCTTTCTTTTGTGCATACGTGTGCGCGTGTGTTATGGATTAGGGATTAGAACCAATTGTAAGTTTAGATTGTATACTTCAGTGGTTTAGCAGCGCCAAGTTTTTTTAATAAACAATAATGTCATGAATCAGGATCACTATGTATCTCACAATTAAATTAGAAAAGGCGATCTTTTAATAAAATATTTAGTTGCATTACATTTGTTTGCATTATTGAATAAGTATTAAAAATTTGTCTCATTAATATTATTATTAATATCGATATTATTTCCTTTATTTCTTCCGATAAAATTTTATACTTGATATTGTTTGGATATAACATTCTAATATAAAAAATAATAAAGTACCTAGTTTGTATAACTATTCAGTTTAGTTGGCGCTATTTGATAATATCATTACTTTAGTAGAGAAGATACTTGGGAGGGAGGGAGAAGATAAAACAATTTTTTTAAATAAAATATCCAAATAATTAAATTGTATAATTCTTGATTGGATGATTATACTTGGCGCCTTTTTTAAACCTTTTTTATTAAAAAAGGTTATTTTTAAGGTAATATCGAATTTTGTAGTTTTAAGTAGGGGAAGCCGGGGTATTCTGGACCGCATTTTGATTTTGGCTAAAAACTCGCATAAAAATGACTTTTTCTGAAAATATCAAAGATTGAATTTGTAGTACAATAAATAACCTTTCTGTTGGTCATAGCGATTTGATCAAATTGTATCAAATGGTACGTCTTATACATATTAGTTGGCGCAAAAATGGTGTTTTTGCGATTTTGAAAAATCTCGGGGAATTCCGGACCACTTTGTAAATCGATTAAAAATGAAAATCATTGATGGAAAACATTTATTTATGAATGGAAACAAAAGAATAATTCTGACAATAGTTCAGGCCAAGGTTAATAAGCTTTTTCAGGTGTCTTATTATAAAATTATTTTAATAAAGAGTATGTATTTACATTGACTCAATTTTGCGGACGCGTTTCAGCACACGGTGCTTTCGTCAGCGCTTATTAATAACTAATCGTTTCGAGTATAGTTTAAATTAAATGGTTACATAATATAATAATATACACTCTTAATAATACATAAATAAATAAATAATAAAATATAATTCTTAAGTATAGTCCGCATTTAAATTAGGTATGTCCAATTATAAAATAAACGTGGTCAATTATAAAAGAATCGTGGTCAAATTTCGTCCTTATCATATTCTTTGTGTTCATATGTTAATATGAAGACAATGTATATGCACGTTTCCTATAGCAGGTTAGCAGGCCTGCATAGTACCGTATCTTGCTGTTACTGTATGTTCTGTATGTCCGTTCATTCTATATTAATTGAATATATGATTATGGCACTGATTAATGTAATAATTATGTTGTGTGTCGTACCTTATTAAACGTTTGACCATTATTCTCTCTTCCCTGTTAGATAGTCAGGTATTATGTACTGGACTCGCTCGTATCTTTAGCAGGAGTGACTCTTATATT